TTTGTTTAGCCAGTTTATTCATTTTAAACAATGTTTGTTTAGCTAGTTTATTTGTTTTAAACAATGTTTGTTTAGCTGGTTTATTCATTTTAAACAATATTTGTTTAGCCAGTTTATTCATTTTAAACAATGTTTGTTTAGCTAGTTTATTTGTTTTAAACAATATTTGTTTAGCTAGTTTATTTGTTTTAAACAATGTTTGTTTAGCTAGTTTATTCATTTTAAACAATATTTGTTTAGCCAGTTTATTCATTTTAAACAATGTTTGTTTAGCTGGTTTATTTGTTTTAAACAATGTTTGTTTAGCTAGTTTAATCATACTAATCTGGGATAGCTATATCTTTCATCTTAATGTTCTTGCTTAGTTTGTGTTATGTAAGGAATGATGAGTGTTTATTAATTTCTAGTTTGCTTATTGGTATTTTCAAACAGTTCTGTACTGTAGAAGCTCTAATTACTGGTATAGTGGATGAATGGGCGTCTGTATTACGACCTCGTCGCAAGCTCTTCACTATCTGTGTCATAATCTTCTTATTTTTAATGGGATTACCCATGGTGACAGAGGTAAGTCATTATCACCTTCAACTTTCAATACATCCCACATACGTACATATACGCACTCACTTATACCATACCTTCATTGCCTATATCTCACACACGCACACACATATTCTCATTGACTTATAACACAGCAAGAAATTTTGATCATATGAATTCAATCACATTATAATTAATAAATTAAAATCATGTCGAAATTAACAATATTAGAAGAAATGAAAAATTATGTTTTACCAAACTGTTGTGAGAAAGATATAAATATTATTTCCATAGTGCAATTTATTTTGAATCGTCATGGCGATATCTTACTACAGCAGACAAATCGTTAAAGTCTCGAACCAAGATCATCATGGTGAGAAATATCTTGACTGTTTTCCTAATGATAATCCTGGTTTGAAGCTATTTCTGAAGTAGTTTTAATTTTGTTAGAAATAGTTCTTTCCTATAACACCTGTATATTAGTTTCTGTACGCGAAAAAGAGTAACAGTTTAAAATCGTGGTAAACGTAAGAAAAACTTAAAGTTCAACTAGAGGGCCAGTCGTATACAATGTTTTAGAGTTATTACTAGTTATTATTGCGCATTGTGATCTTTGAACTCCTTTCAAACTGAATAGTAGAAATGTGAGTTTTAGAATATTGTAAAAAACTTGCCCATGTATGTCAGGGTTTTAGTATATATGAGTGGGCTGGGATTCTTCTACAGTAGGTGTCTGTGACGTGTTGGCGATAAATTTGAAAAATAAACGGACAGCACACAATCCACTTATTTTAAAATAATATATTCAAAACAAGTCAAACGTATGTATAAAAATTCTTTACACTATAAGATATCACAGTTTTGTCTAACACTCTAAATAATTCTCTTTTCTTGTGAAAAGTCCACACAGGCTAGTTCAGTTACTTCAGAATCTAGTTTACAAGACAAATTATTTTTCTCTGCTCTGTTTTTTACTGTACAATCTGTGTTAAATTCGCTTGCGTTACCTCGCGTGTACTACAGTTGTATCTCAACCTTTAAATAATTGTCTCCTTTCGTCAAAGCCCATACAGACGGGTTCAATTACTTTAGAACACCCTTTGACAAGACAAATTATCCTCCTTATCACTGTTAAACTGTGAAACTCACTTTATAATATCACCGTTAAGGCTTATCACTCACAGGCAAGCTAACTTTATATTTTCTAACTTTCTGACTGAACTTCACATAACATGCTTTCATTTCTCTACTTAACTTGCTAGTAACACCAACACCCACATATATATACACAC